TTTTCTCGAGACACTTTTTGATCTATAAGCGTTTGCTTTGCTTTATAAATTATGCATTTATTTATTCAAGATTTTATACGAACACAAGAGTGTGTTTATTGAAACAATGAAACTGTAGATAGATGCGTCATAGCAGTAACATCCACATAATGAAATTCACATCTTTATGAATTATATAATTATTATTACAGTCATTATTGTTATTTCACTGAACAATCCTCATCGTATTGAGAAATATGAGGTTTACTCATAAAAATTATGAATCACCAACTATTCATATGTACTATATAATACCCACAATAATAATTTTCTTAAATAATTGGGCATATTTCTTGAGAGTACTGATAATGTTACTTAGAAAATTATAAGTAATTAAATAATATCTCATTCGGCTAAATGCAAACAAATTCATACAGTCATGCATTTAAGTTGTAATAAACAATATTATTGTAGATAGTTTCAGTTGTAGCATAACTAAATTATTTACGTTCCAACTAATTACGAAATAGTTTATGCAATTTTTTATATTATTCCTGTCATTGTGTCATATATACAGCGGGTACTTTTTAGATAGTTTAATGTTTATCAAAAATTTCAACCAGTTCCCACTAAACACTTGTAAAATTTGTGCTGAATTACTTGTCAAAAGACCCGGTCTTATTTTACAATACCATATCAATAAGATAAACCGGTGTGAACTAAATAATTGTTGACAGTATATGATATTATTTAGCAAGTTGTGATAATAATGATCTATAAGTCTAAAATAATTGCATTGACAAATTCAATGTAGAAAATGTAATATATGACTGTCATCTATTGTAAAAAATAAATTGACAAATTGTTAATTATTTCTTAAAAAATTTAATATCGAATTAATAGAAAATATGATTCTCTAAAGTAATTTCTGATTTTGGTAATAAAGGACCACTTAAGTTGACTTTGGGACTAAACATTTTAACATTTAGGGTAATTAAGCAGCTAGTTATATTGTTTAGTTAATATTTTATATAAAGCTAGTCTGTTCTTTTTCTTTTAAGTTTATTTTAATATAACAAAAGTGCCTCAATGTGATAATTTGCATTTTAAATATTAAATATAATAAAATATCAGACACCCCTGAAGATCTTGGCGAAATTCAGAGAACCCTTGAATAAATTATAATAATTGTAGAATTTTTATATTTATTTATACTCAAAACAAAAAAAGACCAGAATAGCCCAATACAAAAATATTAACTAAGAAAGAAATTTTAGTTTATTATAGTTTAAGACTTGAAGAGAGTTAACTTTATCTGATTATTTTATAATATCATGCAAATGTAGTCATATTTCTAGGTATTTGAATAATATCGGAGAATTTCCCATACATATCCAAATTTTTTACCCCCATATATTTTGCGGGCACTCTAATATACATATTTTATAATTTCATTGTATAGTATTTTCTTCCTTTTTATTATAAACATCTGTACCAAAAAGATCTAGACTTTTATAAAAATATTTTTGTTGGATCTATTCTGATGACATAATTAATATATAAGTAATTTTGATTATTTTGATGTATCAATCGAATACGAAAAAAAATGTTTTAATTATTCTTTGATAATTATAGTTTACAATCTTATCTCATATTTTTTATTATGGCTTAAATAATAAATTAATTAAATAAATTAAATAAACATTAATTAATTATGTAAATAAATAAATTAAGTAAATAAATAAATTAAATAAACAAATTAAGTAAATAAATTAAATAAATAATTAAATTTAAATAAGAAAACTAAATTTTCCAGTGAATTATTTTATACTTTAAGCTTTAATGGTGATGATTATTTAACGTATAGAACTAAAAATTGTGTAATTGCACTTAAAAAAAATCGTTACGTATGCAATCTGCATGTACTCATATTATTCTGTGTATTACAAATGACCTCCTAGGCACGTTTTATTTTCAGCGATAATAAACATTATACAAAGAATAAATTTGAATATTGCAGGAAATATTGCAGCGCGGGAGGTTGTGGTTTATCAGCAAAAATACGTTTTTCCCAACCGCATGGGAATGCATTTTTAAATTTAAAAGTCTATAAAATGAGTATATGTCTATATGTGAGATACAAATAGAAACGTATATCAGAAGTAAAGTATTTGTTTAAAAAGTAATACAAGAAAAATCTAGAAAGTAAAAATTTTAAATTAGAAGACTTATAAATAAATTTGCATAAATATATACAGTTTAATTGCTTTTTAACGTTTTAAGGTAACTTCGAGTTACTTAAACGAAAAATTATTTAAATTTAAACTGATTTTTTGATCTTAAAAGCATCAATTTACAACACTGTAACCAAACATATATTTCGTATTTAAATCGAAATCAAAATAAAGGTCAAGTTTAAAAGCCATTCATAAGTAAGAGTTATGAACAAAAGAAAAAAATTAAATACAGTAATAAAATAATTGTAGATACTTTACTGTACAAGTATATGAATTACATAGTTGAATCGAAACCACAGATTCACCCGCCTTGCGTCTCATGTTCACTTAATCATACACATGTATTTGGATTTGTGAACATTTAATTTATAAATTGAATAACAAAATAGCAATGAAAATGAAAAACAAAACAAAATTACCACACTATAAGTTGAGACCGAGACCTAGACCGTCTTTCCTGTCTTTCAACAAACCACAGATTATGACTGTGCCTTCTCATGCTTGGCGTGGGTGTTAATAAATTAAACTCAATTACAATACTTTTTGTTGTCGTTATTGTTTTTCAGTTCAATTATTGTTAATTATTTGCTTGTGCTTTGGTAAACAATAATAAAAATATTAAATAAAAAATCTGTGCATTTTTAGCAATTCAAGTCAATTATAAAAAATTTGGAAAAATACATGTCAATGGGGAATAATGAAAATCCTTCAACATTTTCACAAATAGATTGTATATTTAACTTCTAAATAAATCAACTGATTTACTGGAATTCTTTATTGTCGTTGTCGTAGTGGCACAGACAATAGTACTTCACTTTACTCATTCGGTACTTGCTAAAATGGATTAGAAATGCCTTCTAAAAACCAATATGTGCTTTGATAGTCAATATATTCCGATTTGCTATACTTGATTTCCGTACGGACTGTTCATTGTTCAAGATTTAGGCTTGGTTTCACTACAAATTTTGAGCTCAATACATATAATAGCAAAAACAAGAAATTGTCATCATCTACACATATGGCTTAAAAAAAAGTACGTACCATTTGATAAGAAAAACTAACACTTACTTGAAATTATAGTAACCAAAAAGTAGGAGATATTCAAATAAATTTAATATGTACAGTATTCGACTAATTTAACAACAAGCTTCTTGCATTTCCCATTCGATAATCGAAAAATTCGTAAAATCAATTGAATATATTAAAAAAAGAAATATAACTTTCAATTCTTACTATTTCAATATAATTAAAAAAAAGAATGTTAATTGTCTATGTTTATTTTTTTTTGTTTTTGCTCTCCCTTAAATATAATAATCAATTACCGAATTTTATCATTTTATCATGAAATTGGACATTTGTTAAAACGTTTGTGTTATATTGGTCGATTACTGTATTTTATATTTAAATTTAATATTTAATATTTGAATTTAATATTTAATATTTAAATTTAATATTTAAATCGAAAAATTTAAGATATTTGTGTTTCAGCATACGCATGTTAAAATGCCTAAAAGAAGGCAAGGGATACTGGTGCCCACGACTCTCATAAATAATACTATCATGTACAGTTAATATACGGAGTTTAAGCCTGATTAAAATTAAAGTGAGCTAAATTTAAAGACTAATTATTCTATAGTTATTTGTACACATGTATATCTTTTACTAGGAACATTAGATATTGTAGTCAATATAATCAAAAGTAATTCAATGATTAGTGGTAAGTACAATTTTATTTAATAAATTTTAAAATATATCAAAAATTGTTAGGGTTAGTTAAATGATGTCATGAAAACTGGCACCACCGCTAATTTATTCAGAATTTAAAATAAACTTAGTTACTACTATTAAATGCGTAGCTTCCATCTGCGTACACTGAATACCTACTAAATATTATAAAATGTTTCAATGGAAAAATTGTCATCCATGCTGAAAGAACAGAATAGCAATTTTCAAATGATACTGACTTCTACTGTAAAAAGTAGAGTAAAAATTAATGATATGGTAAATAGGTGAGGGAGTCACATATAAAATAACATTTTAACAAACCTTTCTTTTGAAGAACGGTTAGAAAACTTAGTGCGGACCAGTCGTTCGCGTTAAGGTACATCCACACCAAAGCGAACGGTTGCAAACGAACGAACTTTTGCCGGTACGATTATCTCCAAATGTTCGTTCGTTCGCAAGGGTACGCTTTGGTGTGGATGCACCTTTAGAAGATCCTTATATAAAAACAAGTTTTAGAGTTAATAAAAAGCGATTTTATACAATTATGATAAAACAGTTAACACTGGTATTGGAAGTTGAAAGGTTTTCATTATTATAAATATAGGAAATACGTTTACAGACCTTAGATAGATTTCGATTTCAAATTAATAAAATATTACAAGTATTGCATCAACTGGCAACTATAGATCTCATAGTTAGTCTCTAATCTCATTTTACGGTACACTTGTGTAACGAGGTTACTATGTGTTTTATTTTACAGGCAAAAATATTTCAAATTACCAAAAAAAAAAAGAATAACAATAACTCGTAAGTAACAAAAATTTGTTTATTTGTATAACCACTCCATATGTTACATCCCAGAACATTAGTAAATCTTATTCATGTATTATATAATTACAACATTCATAATATTTTAATACATTATTATTAAAAAAATTAATTATTATTAGGCAAACAATTTAACAAAACGAAAAAGAAATTACATTAATTACTTTTTACAATAAATTAAAAATATTCAAAAAAAAATTGATCAATTTAAAATTAATGAACGAAACTTACCCAAATTATACTCATTTAACGTAATTACCAGATGACCTATAAAATTTAAAAGAACATAAATTAATAATTATACTAATTTAGTTAAAAGCTATTATTTATAATGATTTGTTTAAAACTAAATATTATTATGTACATAAATTAGAGTTCTAGCCAATACATATATTTTTAATATTAATTTAAGATAATTTGTAACTATTATTTATATTTAATATTAATTTGTTTAAAACTAAATATTATTATGTACATAAATTAGAGTTATACCCAATACATATATTTTTAATATTAATTTAAGATAATTTGTAACTATTATTTATATTTAATAATAATTTTATTAAATATAATTGTGTGCAAATTGGCAAACGATATATGCACTCAACACTGTTTTTTCCCTTACATTTATATTGTAGTCATATCTAGACAACAGTAAAGATACTAACAATAATTATCTATACTATTTTGATAGATTGTTTATTAAAATGCAATTTGCAAATATATTATGTGGCTGTATCTAATATGTAAGCATTTTGAATGATGTCGAATGTTTAATTAAAAATAGAACGCGATAAGCGACACGTGATAAAAAATCATATTTGCCACTTTCAACTACTTGTTGCAATGTTTGGTTAGAATTTATAATTGTGATATACTGATTTTTATTCAATGCAGCTACTATACATCAAACTCTAAAAATAGAACTAAATAAATAATTAATTTAACAATGGGATTACAATGGGAGTGCTGAGCTCTCAAAAAGAAACTTTGTTGTGGTAGTTTTCCCTTACGATCGGTTATTGGAGTATTGCTTTGAAAATAGTATTTTTATGAAACATATAGTATCAATATATCAATAAATTAGGCTTTTTTAATATATATCATGTGTAAATGTTCTACGAGTGATTTTAGAGACCTTTCAACCCATTTATATAGAAAATAATTGCTTTCACCTTAACTGAATATATATGATTATTATAACTAAGTATCATCCAGAGCCCTTCTGCGGGGTAACAAATAGCTTCACATATAGCTTATTATTTGAACGGGAGAAACAACATCTACTTGAACACTGGAGAGCCCAAAAAGGCATGCGACAGTCAAAAATATTCATTGATCCTGATCACATCAAAGTTGATGCTATTCTTGGCCTTAGCAGAAACGATATGAAAATCTACACTGAACTTCTTACAGGACACTGTAGACTTAATTACCACATGAAGATTATAGGTGTGGTAGAAAGTGACTCCTGTCGACTCTGTCATGAGGAGAAGGAAACATCAGAACATGTTCTATGCAACTGCCAAGCGGTGGCAAGACGTAGACTCGATTACCTTGGAAGCGGGATATTGGTTCCAAGTCAAATAGGTAAAATTAAGCCCACAGCAAATACAAGATTTATAAATAGTCTAAAATTGTCCTAGTAGGGCCTTTAGGTGCACAATAGATCTTTTAGGTCGGGGTGCTTTAATAGTCTATTACTTAAATAAAGTACCATCTAATAACATGTAGATGAGCTGCCTGAATGCATTTGAGTAACCTTCTCATTTTGAAGACAGCTTCATTCTATATGACCAAAATTCTACCAAAAGGATCAATGGCCATTCCGTTCAATGCAAAACAGCTTTTTAACAATTTTTTGTTCTTTATAATAAACTTTTCATCTTTCACTAACTTCTGATGCTCTGATAGCTGTGCCCGAGTGAGACAATTTTGTATTCCCAACTAAATATTGAGAAAGTTAGTTTTGTACCGCAAGTTCATAAAATGAGCTGCAATTAGATTGCACATAGTTATCAACCATACATTGATCTTTTTTTTCTAATATTACAATTATTGAGTACTTTTAGTCTTTACCGTGATAAGCTTATAGTCAAATGCGAAAATGTTCCTTCTCTTATTCCATAAATTTAAGAAATTCTTTTCTATTTGAACTATTGTTATGCACATTTATGACTTTTAGACAATATTGCTTTCTTTACACATGAATTTGAAGATTTATCCATATTTAAGAATGGATCTAAATAAGCAATATTTTCTTTAAAAATGTACATCTTTAAACCAGTTAGCAATTAAAATAAAAATCCAAACTAATGAAGATAAATTAAGTTCATGAGCAGATGTGTATTGGTATGGCTATATGAAGAAATATTTATCATCATAGGTTTATAAGCATATGTTTTTAATTGAACTAAATATGTTCTTTTGAAAACAGTACAATAAATCCCATAGACAACGTTACTTTTTTCTAAAACCTTTAATAGTTCATTTTCAATATTTTCCTAACTTTCAATTCGTTTAAAATTATTATCAATTCCAAGAATGCAATGAAAATAGAATAACTGATTTATTTTGATCACTTCTCATTATCATTAGATAATGACACTAACCGCAGAGGAACTCCTTTCAATGGCTGTTGTTATAACTGTAGGTAAGAAAAGAAGAAAAATGTGACACATCTACTCTATGACTGTTCGGTATTTACCACAAAGCTTATATTACTGTGTTATCTCTCTGTCTTAGGCCCTCTATCAGATGTCTACAGTGTAGACAAAAAATAAGAATAAATAAATAAGTAAATAAATAATAAATAATAAATAAATAAATAATAAATAAATAAATAAAACTCGCAATACTCGAAACAGCTGTATGGTCAGCCAAAAATTCAATTAATTAAAATAATATAAAAAATAAATTTTTGTTGTTGTAGTTCACTACTGTTCGAAAAAATATCTTTAGAAATAAATAAATAAAAAATAAATAAAAAAAAAATAAAAAATAAATAAAAAATAAATAAATATATAAGTAAAAATATTACCCTTTTTTTAAAAAAAACATAGTAGGTTCCCGGTTAAAAATACAGGATAACATGCCCTAAAACTATATTAATAAAACAGGTCTACGTCATAGGCCTATCATCGACCACTGATATATATAATCTATCATATAACTTATATAATATAATATAATATAAGTTAAATGTTAAAATACTAATTATGATACAAAACAAATATATACAAAATTAAAATACGGATAAATTACAATATTATAGTTATAATAGTACGAACACTAAAACTTTTTGTAAGCATTTATCAACAAACTAAAACGAAATATATTTTAATTATGCATTCTGAATTGCTGTTGAAACCTATAAAGCACTACGGACACGCTTTCTTGTGGTTAATGTTTACTTTATCTACTTATCTATTGTAAGAATATTATCAACAATTAAATAAACTAGACAATCTATTCAACTTAAACAAACAAAACGGAAAGTTTTTTGTCAGTTATTTAGCACTCGGAAATGGTGTTGTCGCCATTATACGTATGGAATTATTTACTTCATAACGATTCTTGCCTTCTAATACTCATATTTAATATCTCAAGTTTTGTTAACTTTTAATTTATACACACAGTTGAGCACTTCAAATCAAATCTGCGCTCTTTGATATGCCATGACAAAATGTAGGTTACACAATAATACACACAGTAGTATTGATAAAGCAATAAAAAAACTAGAAGGGTCTAGTAACCATAGGCTTGAGCGAAAACACCAAAAAATACAAAGTCACTATGTTCACAATAAAAAGTTTTAAAAATATATGTAAAAATATGATTTACAAAAAAGTTTTTTTTATTTTATATTATTTTATATTTCAATTCAATAATACAAATGATTCAATTTGACCAATACAAAATTTATTATTGAATATAATATATTTCCCTTTCTGCCTTTCAGCCACACAATAGTGCAGATAACCTTAATAATTTTTACTAATATGTAGAATGCATACATAATACACACAAATAGAAAAAAAGGTACTCATTTTTTATTGTACTAAAATACCAACTAAAGTAATTTAGTTTTGGTTTAGCTGTACCATTTACGCAGAGCTATCGAAATTTATTAACTATAGTATTTGAGATTGAATCTATAGTCTATATAGCCTATACATTAAAATCAAATATATAATCAAAATAAAATATATAAACAGCAATGGAAATAGCAATAAAATTTATCAAAAAGGTTGCAGCTTTAAGTACACTGAATATGGGTGGATGTCTTAATAGTTACAACTCTAACTGGATTCATTTTACGATTGGATAGAGCTTATTAGCATGAAATTTCGCTGTGGCAGAAAATTTAAAATCCTCATTCTCAACTGAATATATTAATATCGATATAATAAAATCGAACTCCTTGTTCGAAATCAAAAGCTTTGCTGTTGTTACAAAACTAATTAAGTAGTGGACGCAGAAGTTATTAATCCAAATTAATTTAAAAAAATTAACAATAAGATATTAAATATAATAATTTTGAAAACTGTGTCTTTCAGTGTCTATTTGAAACCTTAATACATTTTCTCTGTGAATGCCCGGCTTAGGTGTCCAGAAGAAATAGGTTTCTAGGAAGTTACTACCTTGACAGTTTATCTGATTGTTCATCGGTGAAGACGAGAGACCTATTAAATTATCTTAATTCGACGGAATAAATTTAGTCTCTCCTCTATATATTAGGGGTTCATGCGAGGAATGTGGCAGATAAATCGCTAATTGAAGTACATGAAAATTATCTAACGGCCTACCATTGCAACCAACCACCAATCATGTCTTTAAGTGTATGGCACTTACATAGTGTGTAAATATTTGAATTCTTGATTTGGAGACAATATATATTATTAAATACAAGAGCTATAACAATAATAAATTTACATATTAATGAATCAGAAGTTTATATGTTAGCTATATTAAAATTTTAATAAAATGTTTCAATTTAATTTTTAAGTAAATTAATATTATTTAAATATGAATATATCACATTACTCTTTGTTTGGTACCAATAAAATACTATTATTCGATTTTACATATGGCTGAATTTGTGAAAACACAATTCGTCAATTTAACATAACAAATTGTTTATCAGTTCTGATCCCATATACTGCTTTTGTTCCCAAAATTATAATTGTAGATTCCAGGTAGGTGTTTTGACTCGTTTGAAGCTAGAAATCCAAATTCATAGCAGAACTAAAACACAATAAATCCAT